GTTCCCCTTGGCTCGAGCCTACAGGATTATGTCTCTGCTACAGGCAGAGTTTACCTCCACTACTCCCTCTCGTGAACACAAATCGATGTAATCCGATTTCGGTCGATCAACATAGGCTAAATTACGAAGAGCGGATTGACGGATAAAAGCAACACTTTCCGGATTAACAACTGTCTTTGCAAACGAGTCTAGTCACTACTATCCAACACGTGAACAACAAGGATCGAGCAAATGTAGCCAGTCCGTGATAATACGCGACGAGGATGAGGAACGATTTAACAAAGTTGAGAAGCTAGGCAATGAAACAGTAGGCGTGGGGATATTGCTACTGGTATCGTAAACAGAAGGCAGTAGTCAATCCAGGAAGTACAGCGGAAAAGGATTCTGGAAGCAAGTAAATGAGTTTAGATTTGGTCTTACCGTTCAGTATTTCACCACATCGCATATAAATTGATAAAGTGCGGATTTCAATAGAAAAAGTATATAGGCATCCGCGTTCAGTTCAAGAGAAACGGTGAAATTCTCAGTTTGAGTATTTGCAATCATTAACCATGCACTTTCGTGCGCCGGTTTTGGTTGCTGTCTTTTGGCCGCCCATTAGGATAAAAGAGTAGAATGAAGATAGGAATGTTGGGAGGAAATTCAAGGGTGAGATAGAGAGTTCATATAGAGTGCGGTATCAAGAATATTGAGTAGATGCACGAGCGAAACTGTTTGCGACACTCAGCCATATCACTCAGTGTCTCTAACCACTGGCTACCATGATCTCGGGGTCTCGATTCAGGGAGCCTAACGGGACCTATGTGACCCAGTCTCCTGGTTAGGGTTTTCATACCTTCATTCCAGGTCTTAGTTTGGTCACCGTTGACCTTTTTCCATCTGCTTTACCTTTCATGTTCCGCTTGTCTCATTGGGTGCATGAGGCTAAGAGCTGATCTCGAAAAGCAGACCGACAATCAACACACCAGCGAACCGAAACCCGAAGGCCTTCTGTGACAGATCTCTAGAAGCTCCCACATACGTGCTTCGGTCATGTTCCCGTGTTGGATCTAAGCCCAACTGCCTTGTTGGTTAGACTTTTGAATCGAAGTCTCCGGCTAGGGTTTCCAAAGAGAAATCACTTCGATAGTGTGGTCTACCGCGAAGTATGCCGTGCCCAAAAATCCTAGGTATCCATTTGGAAAACCCTCCTCCTCATCTGTTCAGTTCCTCCTCTCAGTTTCGAATAGTAGGAGATGCATTCTGTTTGCGCCCCCCATGGGATATCACTCAGAGGTCAACCATTCAGAAGCTATTAGATTTTTGAAACCAAAATCCCCTTTTCACTTAGCCGCGTTCAATGTCCGCGCACTCTGTCAACAAGCTGTCTTGGCTGGAACCCTTGAGGAAACACATAAAAGACCCTACTTCAATCATTACCATGCGATCTCCAGATTGGACGTCATCCTCATGCTTCACCCTCCGTGTATCAGGCGATTCGGCATCCGAAGCTCGCAGTGTTGTGCTAGGTGCCAAGGCAGAAAATTCGCTTCTCGACTGGATCCCGGTTAGTAGCCGACTATGCGCTGTAAGTCTGGATGGCTCAGGACGGGTTAACAGCTACAGAACGAAGCGTTGATGGTTATTCATCATATCCGAGTATGACCTGACTGATTGGAGTTCGACAGAAATGACGGATGAATTTTACAAGGATCTCTCTCAACTGCTCCAAAGTGCTCGGTCAACTGACATCGAGGTAGCCGCTGGAGACTTAAATGATTAAGTGGGAACCTTAGACGAATCAGAAAGATTACTTGGTGGTTCACATGCAATCCAAGCTAACCAAAAGGACAACGGGGAACGCCTACCCCAACTTTGCGCTGACCATCGACTGTTCCTGTCAAACATCAACCCCTGGCACAAGAAACGACACCCTCTCTCTGAAGGGTGGCCCGAGAAGTTTAGCTGAAATTTGAGATCTGTTTATGGTAACAGCCGAAGCCAAGTACGAGCTTACGATACTTTTCCGCCCGAGTTTAATACCGAAAGTGGTGTTCATCAGGGTCGCCTTCTCTCTCCGTTTCAATATAACCTTGTCATAGATTTAAATCTTGAAACAGCCTCATCCGTGTGCGAGGATAGCGGCATCGATTTGCTCCTATGTGGCAGTCTCACTCATTTCAAGTATGCAGACGACATCGTGTTGCTAAGCGCAGCATCAGGTAAGTTGCAAGCTTTTCTGGGTAGTTTGAGTGCTAGTGTAGCATGCGCTTTGTATCTTCAAAGTGTAAAATGTTGCTACAATATTGGGTTGGTCCAAGCCCTGACTGTAGAAGTAATGAAGGAGGTAGATAAATTTCGTTGTCTGGGCAGCTATAATCACCTAGCGGATGCGACAGATGAAGTGGAGGTGAACAGATGACGTGAAGACAAAGCATTAAGAAACTCACAGAGCCGTTAGGTAGAGTAGATGTCTCTCACCTTCCAGGTTGGGGTCCGAAAGACTCCACAACCGATGGGTTGGAGACATGGCAGCGAACCGACAGCAGTGGCGCTCTTGTTGTCGTTTCTTATCAGGTCCAAATGCTTAAATTACTATGTATGCAGAGCTCGATTGGGAACTCTGTGTTGACGATAGAGGTTCACGATCGTCTCCGTCCCTCAAAACAGATCCAATCCCTGTCCACCGTAAAACTCACCGCTAACCTTGTATGCATTGTGAGTTTGCAACGATCACTGAAGTTTACCTCAGTGTATTTCGCTTTACGATGATGATGATGATGAGGTGTAAGCGGGCATATGGAAGGCTCGGTTGACATTTGTAAACTTGAGACACCTGTGGCGCTGTCGCGAAATCCGGCTGTCTGTGAAAAGACGAAAGTGTGCTGCAGCAGTTCAGCCAGTGCTGCTATACGGTGCATAGACTTGGCCATTACGCGAGCAGGATAAAACAGACTGTCGAACACCGGTATTTACGTCGCATTGCACGAGTCTGGTAGGGAATGCGGACAGAGCTTTAGGCAATCGCCGACGTCCAGTGGAGCAAATGGTCGACCTCCATAAATGATCCTGGTTTTGACATGTGCTGCGCATGTCATCAAATAGGTTGCCATGGCGAGCGTTATTTGCCAAGACAAGCATTGGATGGAAAAAGGTCAACGGTGACCAAACTAAGACCTGGAATGAAGGTATGAAAACCCTAACCAGGAGACTGGGTCACATAGGTCCCGTTAGGCTCCCTGAATCGAGACCCCGAGATCATGGTAGCCAGTGGTTAGAGACACTGAGTGATATGGCTGAGTGTCGCAAACAGTTTCGCTCGTGCATCTACTCAATATTCTTGATACCGCACTCTATATGAACTCTCTATCTCACCCTTGAATTTCCTCCCAACATTCCTATCTTCATTCTACTCTTTTATCCTAATGGGCGGCCAAAAGACAGCAACCAAAACCGGCGCACGAAAGTGCATGGTTAATGGTTGTAAAAACTGAAACTACGGTATTTGGAAAAATTCGATTAAAAGCGACTGGAGGTGCACGAGTTGCGTTCCACGAGATCGTGAACAAGACGGTAGCCGACCCGACTTGAGGGTATCGAACAAATTGCTTCGTGGTGGAATGGGCTTCATCAGGAGAATGAGTTGCCGTCTTATAGACTCGGTGGTTAAGTGAATGGTTCGTGATGGCTAATCGGGCACACGCACTCGAAACAGGACCAAATAAGGATGCCAATCCCATTGCGCTGTCTGCATTCAAATATACCAAGATTTTTTATTATACACTTTAGCGTGATGAACAGCAGACGGGAGAAACCTCATAGTCACGAGGACCTGCTGTTCAGTGATGGAAACCGGTAACCCAAGCTCCGGGACCTAATGATGCAACACAAGGCCTCGCGAGGTCAGGCGTAGTATTGAACCGGACGACAGCAAAGCTGCCTACTATTAAAGTTGGGTGGTGGTGACGGGGCTTGAACCTCGGACCACAGGGTCCAAAGCACGCCGGTGACAGCGACTAAACCACTGCACCACCACTATTGGGAAAGAAACTATTTGCATCGGCAGTCCTTTAAAAGTAGCTACAGGATGACCCCAACTAGCAACTGAAGAGAGAGAGAGAGAACGTGGCGAAACCATCCGGTACCACTTAGCAGGAAGCACTGCATTCTTATAAAAGTGCACACATGCATGTAACACCCAATGTACGAGCTGTTTGATGCTTTAAAGATGAGGTGCGCAAGTGAATGTCGGATGCGACAAATCAGCTTTCGACTTTTTCCAGTCAACTAGAGCAACTGGTCCACGAATGATTTAACCAAGGAGTGCAAGCAACAATCAACGCAACCGAAAACACACCGAGGTGTGAGCAAGTTCAGGAAGGAGAAAAGAACTGAAACGGGTGTGTGTATACATATTTAAGCAAATGTGGGATGTGGGCGAGCGACAAACGAATTGCTTGCTAGCGCACACACACGCACACGCATACATCAACAAGCTGACATATTAAAAGGGGTAGAAACCGGGAACGGTGGAGAAGGGCAGTATTACATGACATTCAGAAAGTAGATGATGCGCTTAGACAGACGTGATAACAAAAATGGACATTGAATGTACAGTACCCATCCGAAGTTGACGGACTGAACAGTGGACAATCGGGAACAGAGAGAATCGACATAGAAAGAACAGTTCTGGATACCAGCGGGTGAACGAATGGAACAAGAATGAGCATTGCGAGAAAAGGGACAGGGATTTGATGGTGAAAACTGTACAATCTCGAGGAAAACGATGGGCCGAAAATAATACGACCATGAATGCAAGTGTACGAATGAGACCCGAAAAAGCGAAAAAACACGATGAGATGAAGTAGAATAGTAAAAAAAAGTCGACGTATCAACACTGAACTGATACCGTAACCAGTCTTTCAGCCCAGTTGGATTAACTCCTCTCACGTCCACTCCAGGAAAGTAGCACCAGACCACCTTGAGATGGTCAATATTCAGTGGTCGGGTAAGTGTCTAGTCTATGCGGAGAACGTGTGAGTATTAGAAAGGTCAATGTGACTCAAATCGGCTTGAGTCAGGACAGAATCCATGGCCACAGTGGACATATGGTCCGAAGAAACGGTGGTCAGGGCTGTGGAAGCGGCCACGGAGGAGGATGAGGCAAGCAGGCGTACCGCAGTTGGTGCTTGCTGACCGATAGTACCGAGCACGGATGGAGCTGCCTGTGTATGGTAAGCCTGCTGTGGTTGTTGTTGCTGTTGTTGTGGTGGTGGGGCATAACGCCAAATGCAGACCAGATTGTTGTCAGTTACCGCGGCCAGATAGTACCCATCCGAACTCATTTCGACAGAATTGACGACCGGATTCCGAAAACCGGAAGTGATGCTCTCCTTCAATTGCTGATCTTCATCCCGATTGCCTTGCACTGAACACTCGGGCCATTCGAGAATCTGGATAGAAGTTGAATAAAAAAGAAATTAAACATTCCAGTGATTTGTCACACACGTTTAAATCACGTAGTGAGAAATTACTTTTTTTATTATTGATCAGCGTTCTATGCGATAACTATCGCGGCCAAAACTAAGCACTGAGACGCACGGTCTATTTAATGAGAGCGAGAAAGAGGGGAAAAAGGAAATTTTATGGTTACCCATAGAAAGATAGATCAAACTGAAACCGGCGAAACAAACTTCGACCACTAGGTGAAAACACGAATAAAAGACATTAATCTTCCAACACGTGAAGGGATACAGGGGTAGACACAAAAGCCTGCATTACACAATGCTTTCAGATTAGTTTATGCAACCATCAAACAGGCACCATCGTGCGATGGTTATAGATGCTGTCTTTCGCCTGCCAATTTGCATCAC